AATCAATAAGATTAATTTGGCATGATCTCCCTGAAGTAAACCCATGTTGTCTCTGATCTTGAAATCCATGTGTTTTTAGATATTTATTTAAAGGATGAAAAAGGAAAGAAAGGAGCCTTAGATTACTGGAACCTCCATGGGGATTAACCCCTTGTTAATTGACAAAAAGAAAAAAGAGAAGTTGGATATTCCCGTACTATTAATATTGTCACCAATGGAACACTTCTTAAATTTAAAACATTACTTTTAATAAATCAAGTTTAAAATCCCTTATTAGTAAGGGCACTACACACACTCTTATGTGGGGCATGCTCACTGTTTAACAGACATGCCACTACCCGCGGTATAGCGAGTTGGGGCACAATTTACTAATACTAAGTAATTTTTAGACACCACATCTAAATGTAAATAGTTAAATCCACAATAAATAAAAAATGATTGCACTAGAAGGAAAAGTACCCACTAGTAACTGTATGGTCTAGTAAAGTGAAATCCTACAAAATAAATTGTCTTAAAAAACTAAACTATTAATAAAATAATTCTAGGGTGAACCCAAACAGTACTATAATATCATAATTGGTTTACCAAGAAATGATCTAAATTATTGGCACTCCAATGGAAGATGAATTTTGCCCCAACTCCTGATAGAGTGGATTGCTCCTTCTGATGAGCTGATAAGCGAAACGCGCGTCAGGGATATGTAGGGTGGCGCAAACTTAGATGACAAACTTAAGATAGAATCTTTATGCCGAGAAGCTCTAGATTTAGAGAAGATTATCTTTTCGAATTATAGAAAGTATCTACTTACCAATTTCTGAGAACTGTAGGGGGACGTGAATATAGACGGAATAACCCTCAGACAGCACATTTATGCCGAGTTGTTCTAGATTTAGAAATATAATTAGAGAAGAAATCTACTATTCTAAATATTAGCTTTGCTGTACTAATCTTTTGCCGTGGGATTGATGGGATAGGTTATACAGCTATTTGAATATATATACTGTCCTAGAGGTTAAACTAGGGTATCAAGGTTTAAAACTGTGCCCTCTTTTGTTTTGTTTTTCCTCCCACGCCTAATAGTATACTAATATACAAGCAGCTATGCTGTGCAATCAAACCATATCCACGGTTGGTGGATTCTGTAGAACTGATCCTCGACACTTTAATATACTGTTACAAAAAGATAACTTTGTTTACAGTAATTAGCAACAATGTTATATTAGGTACCGGGGAAGATCAGTTCTAGCAGATTGAGAAGCTATTTTTACGTATAGGCATAGGAGTATCTAGCAATCCACTCTATCAGGAGTTGGGGCAAAATTCATCTTCCATTGGAGTGCCAATAATTTAGATCATTTCTTGGTAAACCAATTATGATATTATAGTACTGTTTGGGTTCACCCTAGAATTATTTTATTAATAGTTTAGTTTTTTAAGACAATTTATTTTGTAGGATTTCACTTTACTAGACCATACAGTTACTAGTGGGTACTTTTCCTTCTAGTGCAATCATTTTTTATTTATTGTGGATTTAACTATTTACATTTAGATGTGGTGTCTAAACACGTGTTTAGTATAAGAGTGTGTGTAGTGCCCTTACTAATAAGGGATTTTAAACTTGATTTATTAAAAGTGATGTTTTAAATTTAAGAAGTGTTCCATTGGTGACAATATTAATAGTACGGGAATCTCCAACTTCTCTTTTTTCTTTTTGCCATGTGTTTTTAGATGTTCAACAATCCGATCCTTTAACATGGTCTCCATTACTTTCCCCACTACTGAAGTAAGGCTTACTGGCCTATAGTTGCCCAACTCCTCCCTACTACCTTTCTTATGAATGGGCACAACATTCGCTAACTTCCAGTCTTCTGGGACTACTCCAGTTAAAAATGATTGGTTAAATAAATCTGTTATTTAACCAACACTAAGCTCTTTTAATAACTTTGGGTGTATTGCATCAGGTCCCATTGACTGATTTGTCTTTACTTTTGACAGTTGAAATAGAACCTCTTCCTCTGTAAACTCACATGTAACAAATGACTCATTTGTCCTTTTTCCTAACTGAGGTCCTTTTCCTTTATTTTCATCTGTAAATACTGAACAAAAATATTAATTGAGGCAGTCAGCTAGACCTTTATCTTCTTCTACATACCTTCCTTCTGGACACTATAATTCCACCAGCACCCAGTTGGTCATTGATTGAGATGTGCAAATCCTATCCTGAGGTACAGCTCATGGTCTTTAAGTTCACAACATGCGAAGAGCATGAGGTCCATATTTTACGCTTATAAACATGATATGCACTTTTGTTCTCCAGTCTAGGAAGCAATCTGCTTCTGTAAAGTATTATGTTTTCTATACAAAAGAACTAGTGGCAACAGAAAAATAATATATGAAATGAGGAAGCAGGTTAAAGCTTAAAGCTCTAGTCTTCCAAGTGATCTTTTATTTACTGAATTGTGCCACATTTAATGTAATACAAAGTGGAATAAATTAGATGGGAACAAACTATTTCAAAATTTCTAACTATTTCAAAAAGTAGATTCCAAAAATAAGTGTGTAAATTTTTTGTTAATTTAACTGAATATGTAGGTCTACTAGTTTAATTTGATATAAATAAAACTGATATTAGAGATCTGCTGAGCCCCCCCCCCCAATCTGTTTATGATTGCACAGCTGTGGTTTGAGAACCCTAGGTGGCAAGGACACACGTGGTTGTTAAAGGGACACTCTAAACATCAAAACAACTGCTGATCTGAGATTTTCCTGCTCAGTTTCCTCATGCGACCTGCAGTGGTGCCAGGAGCCGGAATGTGACGTCACTCCAGTGCCCTGCATCACTAAGCGGCGTGCGAGGGAGCTGAACAAGAGGCTCAGAGTTCCCTCGCCGCATATTTTTCGCACCCACTCCCCCCTTGCCTGCCCGCCCTCCATCCTGTGTCTGAGTGAGTGTATCTGTCAGTGAGTTTGTTTGTCTGTCAATTAATGTGTGTGTATATCTGTCTGTCAGATTGTGCGTCTGTGTATATGTCTGTCTGTCAGTTTGTGTATCTGTGTGTTTGTTTATATGTCAGTGTGTTTTTGTGTGTCAGTGAGTGTGTGTATGTGTCTGTCTGTCAGTGAATGTGTTTTTTTATCTGTGAGTGTGTCTGTCAGTGAGTTTGTTTGTCAGTGAATGTGTGTTTCTGTGAGGGAGTATGTGTGTTTCTGTGAGTGAGTTTGTGTGTGTATGTCTGTCAATGCCTGTGTATTTCTATCAGTGTGTGCCTGTGAGTGTGTGTGTTTGTCAGTGAATGTGTCTGTCAGTGAGTGTCTTTCAGTGCATGTGTCAGTGAGTGTCTGAGTGATTGTGTGTGTCTGTCGGATTGTGTCAAAACAGTAACTGTGTGTGTCTTTTAGATTGTGTAAAATCAGTGAGTGTGTGAGTATGTGTGTCTGCCAGTGAATGTATGTCAGTGTATCTGAGAGTGTGTGCCGGTCAGTGAGTGGGTGTGTCTGTGTGTATGTCAGTCAAAGTGTGTGTTAGTCTTTAAGCGTGTGTTAGTCTATACTGTGGTCTTGACCGGAAGGAATGTGGAAAATTTAAATTAGGGGGTGCCCGAGTTCCGTCATAACTAGGGCAGGAAAAATTAAAAATACACCACTGCTTATTACACAGTGTGTGTTCAATGAATCATGTCTTATCTTCTGCTCTTTTAATTGTGCTCCAGAGCATGTAGCAGCCTTCTGTGTGATAATTTCAAATAACAGAGCAGGAGGGAAGAACTTCTAAAGTCAACACACTGTGCTATAGAAATTAAAACAATTTCTTTCACAGAGATTATGTCAATGTCAATGTCAGGGGAGGCGTGGCTAGGTCTACATAAATAAATTGATTTAACTCTTAAATGGCAGAGAACTGAGCAGTGATACTGCAGGGCCATGATCTATACACCAAAACTGCTTCATTAAAGGAACACTATAGGGTCAGAAACACAAACATGTATTCCTGACTCTATAATGTTAAAACCACCATCTAGCCCCCCTGCCCCACCCTTACCCTCCGAAATAGAGCAAAATCATACTTTTATTCCAGTCTACTACTGGTTGTTCTGCCCCTGATTTGCCTGCTTGGCTGATATCATCAGAATTAGTGTTCTGAGCCAATCACAATGCTTCACATAGGAAAACATTTGATTGGCTGAGCTTTTCATTGAGGCAGATCAGGGGCAGAGCAAGCACAAGTCAAACACAGCCCTGGCCAATCAGCAGTTCCTCATAGAGATGCATTAAATCAATGCATCTCTATGAGAAAGGTTGTGTCTGCATGCAGAGGGTGGAGACACCGAGTGTCAGTTCTACACACTGTGCAGCACTGCCACAGGAAGCATCTCTAGTGGCCGTGTTAGACGTGGCGCCAGTGGAGTTATCACTAGGCTGTAATGTAAACACTGCATTTTCTCTGAAAAAACAGTGCTTACCGCAAAAAGCCTGAGGAATGATTCTACTCACCAGAACAAATTCAATAAGCTGTAGTTGTTCTGGTGACTATAGTGTCCCTTTAAGATCAAGATGCTTTGGTGCTTAGAATATCTACTAATGAAATTTGTAGAAATTACAACAACAAAAAAAAAACCATTTAATTATGCTCAAGTTGCTTTGGTGCTTAGAGTATACTTTTAAAGAAATTCATATGATTAAAAAGGTAAAAAGGTCATATAATTTATAACTAGTGGCAAACAGCAGATATATGACAAGTCGATTCTGAATTTAAATGAACCGTTTTGGCAAGTTGGTAATATTCGATATTTTTTCATATTGTGCTCAGTTTGTTTGTTTGGGAAACTGATAGAAATGTATAATTATAGACAGGTGTGGGTTATATAATCTCTGTGCAGGACTGCACATGCTTACCTGTTTGACATTCAACAGTTTCTTCATGAACATGACTTTGTAAAGAATGCACATAATACCAGTTTGACAAGAAAGTCTGGAACCTAATTTATTCATCTTTCAGTTTCAGAAAGGTCCGGGCAATATGTCTCTTAAAAATGGTAAAAGCAAATTGAGAAGAATATCTTCTTTTTGGATTAAATACGAGATCCTGATCCACTTACCAGAAGATAGTCAGATGTTCTCTGTGTCCGTCAGACCAACAGATACTATTAAGGACCTGCGAGTACTTTTAGTGCAACAAGGGGTCACTTCCTGGAAGAAACATTTCTTTTACAACGGGAGACAGTTGGGTGAATATGAAACTATTAAAAATGTCAACATCAAAAATGGATCCGTCATATTGCTACATAAGAGCAGCTGAAGGTAGGTAAAAGATTTTCAATCATGCATTCTTTGTTTCACATTTTATATATAGAGAAACAATACATCTAAGATTTAGGTCCTCCATTACAATTACATTGTTACTTCCTGATGATAATTTATGCTGGGTTATTGTAGATCTATGTTGGAACGTGTAAAAGATTTTTAACTTGGTTTGAGGACTATATATATATATATATATATATATATATATCAATATATATATATCAATCAAGAACCACAAGGAAAACGGATATTATACCCCTGTTGGTTATCACTTCATCCATACTGGTCACTCTATCCAAAACCTTAAACGGAAATTTCAAAGACTCTCGTGAACATTTGAGATGAAAATGATCACACATTTCAAGACCAAAAACAAAGGACTTAATATAGACTCTGGCTTTCTCACACACTACCAAAACTTTATATAAACACACATCTTAATGTCTTATATAGCTCTTTTTCAATATTCTTGTTTCACCTTTATTGGATCAAATTATATACATACATATATGCAGCTATATACTTGCTTGCCCTGCTCTGCTCTGCTGTGTTTTTTTTTTTTTGGGTTATTTTTTTCTTTTTAACTAGCTTATTGACTCTCCTCTGTTTAATTACCATTATTTTTAAGTGTTAAACTCTATCAGATTGATCATTATTGCTTCAGACCTGAGGAAGAGAGGAAAACCATGGAAAGCTTGTCTTTGAAATATTATGTTAGTCCAATAAAAAGGTATCACTGAATACTGCATTACTCTGGTATTTTGGCATTTTATATATATATATATATATATATATATATATATATATACCTAGCAGGGGTAGCAAAACTTAATGTCTGTAAGAGCCTCATTAAATTTATTGAAGTAATCAACATTATATTTGAGATATTTGAATTAGAATTTTTATTAATATGATTTATTAATTATACAAAAACAGAAATCAAGAGAACAAAATTAATAAGTGAGAACAAAATCAATAAAAAAAAAGGTTTTTGTCAATCTTTCTTTTATTGAGGCATAGTCACTATTTTATTTTTTATTTTTTATTTTTTTGTATAATAGTGGAAAACATTACAGAAAAAATTAGTCATAGCAAAAGTACATTTCTCACTAACGCAGTAGTTTGTATACTCCTGCACAGGCAGCCTTATATTTTATAATTTACAGGTTAGGCAAACATGTCTATGCATGATACAAAACAATATTTAATTGTACCCCCAGCAACTTCATTCATGTGTCTCATTCCTCCCAGTGTCCCCATGTGTCTCTATCCCCCAGCCCCCATGTGTCTCATTCCCCCAGTGTACCCATGTTTCTCATTCCAAACACACCATTCATGTGTTTCATTCCACCAGCCCCCCATGTGTCTTATTCCCCCCAAACACATCACATGTCTCATTCTTCCCCAGCACCTCCATTTATTTGTCTCATTCCCCCAGCCCCCACAGATTTTTAATTCCCCAGCCTCTCCATGTGTCTCATTCCCTCAACCCCCCCCATGTGTCTCATTCCCTTAGCCCCACATGCCTCTCATTCCCCCAGCCTCCCCATGTGTCTCATTCTCCAGCCTCCCCATGTTTCTAACGCCATCTCCCCCCATGTGCCAGCTTACCTTCTCCTTGTAGCGTGGCCAAGCTGTGGACCAGGGTATAAGAACTTGTTTCCCTCCCACTGTCTAACAGGAAGCAGTTCTGCACTATCAGTGCACGCACTTCCTGTCAGACCGGGTAGAGGGAAACAAGCTCTTCTACCCTGGTCTGAGGCTCGGCCATGCTACATTCTGGCAGGACTGACAGGATGGGAGCTCTGTGCACTACTCTTCTGCTAGTGAGCTGGATGGTGCATCCCCCAGGCCTTATGGTAGTGCCAGCCCAGAAAAGTGTTACGAGCAATGAACAACTCAAACAAAAGCAACTTAAATAGCTCAACACAATGATAGCTTCAAGTGGTTTACACAGTCTCAAAATGATTCAACCCCCTGAATAGAATCCCTCACAACAGCACAAATGCAAAAAAGGTGTTGTCTCAAGCCAACCTAATGCAACTAATCATGGGTTGCACCAGGTGTGCATGAGCTGGAACACTTGAAATACCTGAACTGGCTAGGGGATTGTTGAGTGTCATGTTTGACTGCATGTTAGAAATATGATCAAGTCAAAAGAATGGTCCACAAAGTTAAGGGAAGAGATCAGTGCCCTTCTCAAACGAGGAACAGGATACAAAAGATAGCAAAGAGATCCAGCTGAAAGCATAGTTTTCAAGTTCAAACTTGAAGGAACAATGGTTACACCTCCTGGACGGAACAGAAAAAGAAAGCTATCAGTGGCTGCAACCAGATTTCTGAGAAGGTAGGTTGTGAAAAACCCTCAAGTGACCGCAAAAGACCTGCAGCAAGACTTGGTGGCAATAATCACTGAGGTTTCAATGAGCACAATAGGGCCCATTCTAAATGCAGAAGGTTTCCATGCCAGAACTCCAGGATGTACACCACTGCTCACCCAAATGTACAAGAAAATTCGTCTCCAATATGCCCAAAATTATATTAATAAGCCACAAACATTTTGAGGCTCTGTGGAGTGATTAAACTGGAACTTTTTGGCTCAATGGATCAGCTGTATGTCTGGAGGAAGAAGAATGAAGCAAACGCTGAAAAGAACACCCTGTGTACAGTTAAGCATGGTGGTGGCTCGGTGATGCTCAGGGGCTGCTTTGGATCTTCTGGCACTGGAAACCTGCAGCACGTGGAAGGCAAGATGGATTCATTGAAGTATCAGGAAATCCTAGGAGTTAGCGTCATGCCGTCTCTGAGGTAAGCTAAAGCTTGGGTGCCATTGGACCTTCCATAAGACCATGATCACAATCATATCTCAAATTTCATCAAGGCTTGGTTGCAGAACAAGTCCTGGAAAATTTTACAGTGGCTCACCTGTCTTGAACCCTTAATAGAAAATCTCTGGTGCAATTTGAAAAAGGCAATTGCAACACAAAAAAACCTAAGAATATAACTGAACTGGATGCCATTGCTCATAAGCAATGGGTTAAGATTCCTCAGTAACACTGTCAGAAGCTGGTGTCTGGCTATGTTTCTCGTTTACAGCAGGTCCAAACAGCAAAAAGGTGACCTACTAAAGATGCTTGCCATGAAGGGGTTGAATAATTTTGAGACTGGAGAAGTCATTATAATTTGTATTTTCAGTTGAATTTGAGACCACTTGAAACATTTGTTGTGTTAACCCCTTAAGGACACATGACAGAACTATTCCATCATGATTCCCTTTTATTTCGGAAGTTGTGTCCTTAAGGGGTTAAACTATTTCAATTGCTTTTGTTTGATTTGTTCATTGCAAACAGCTGAAAGTCTGTAAATTTTGAAAATAAATCTGATTAATTTTGATTAAAAGTGTGTGTGTGTGTGTTTGCACACTTGGTATTTTCATCCAGGCCCAGTACTTGGTTATGGACTGCTAAAATATCAATGGATTTTATAAAAGCACTCTGTGCCTAAAAATACATTTCCATTTTCTTTTCCCTCCAGATTAGAGGCAGTGCATACAGCAAAAGCTAGAAGTATTACTAGAAGCATTTAAAAGTTTAGCTCCTCCTCATACTTCTTCCCAGTCAGTTCGGGAAAGCCAGCTCTGACAGTGTGCCCAGTTCTTCCCTCTTTGCATAGTGTTGGAATGCCTCTGTGTTTCATGCTTTTATTACTTACGCCCAAGTCCCACCTGTGCTAGAAATTGCAAAGGTGCATCGGAACACACTTGCTGGAGGTGGATTGCGTGTGTAGGTTGCGATGCATTCCACAGGGAGATCCCAGATCCATAGAGGCAGTTTTCCCAGCAGCAACTACCTGTCTGCCTGGTGTTTTTAGATCTCACCAGCCCTCCAGTACATCCAGAGCCATTTAAGATCTGTTCTTTCAGCAACCAGAGCCTATGCTTCAAGGAATTTAAAACATTGAAAGTCTTTTCATGTATGTCATGGTTTCAGATAGTCTAGTGCAGACCTTTGGGGATATTCAGTCAGCTGCAATTCAATCAACCAAGTCCTCTATGCCTCTTGAGCAGGTATTCAAATCTCCAGGTAAGAGCAAGAAAAGGAAATGCTGGGAACAAGCAGAATCCCTCTAAAACTCCTCTTCTACATGCTCATCATTGGAGGATTCTTCAGTTTCTTCAGATGAAGAATATTATTTTCCTGCTGAGAGTCTACATAAGCTTATCAAAGGAATTAAACTTCTTGTGGAAAATAAAGATTCTTCTAATTAACAGTAAGCTGTTAAACACAAGAAGCTCAGATATTTTGCCTTTCATCCTAAACTGAAGGAATTGATGCTTCGGGAATGGAAATATCCATCCAAAAAGGACTTTTTAGGTAAGAATTTTAAAAATATTTTTGCTGTTAAAGAAGAGGACAACAAGAAATCGGAAGATCATCCTAAGGTGGATGTGCTAATTGTACAGTTGTAGAAAAAGACCACCCTACCCATTGGAGATTCTAGTGGACTACAGTATGCAATGGATAAGAAGGCTGAAGCAACTACTTAAATTATATGTCACTACTGCTGCACAAGTAAAGCTCTTATTTCAGGAAAATCAGTGACCAACATTTTTGGCTAGATTCCCTAGAAGAGGTGTATATGGGAGAGTCCAAGGCAATCCTTTGAAACTTTTACAGAATATCAGATTGGCTTCCGATTTCCTTTCGTACTCTACTTCGGAAGTTCGGCTAAATCTATGGTCTGACACCAGCACCCTGGGTATTTATCAGGTTACTAGTGGTCATCACAGCTGCTTAAGAAAATAAGGACTCTATATTGTCCCATACTTAGACAATTGACTCGTCACACCTTCCTCAAGAGAAAAACGCGTAAAGGATATAGAAACCGCCTCAATTTGCCTAAAATGACATTGATGGATTTTAAACCTGGAAAAATCAGTGCTGCTTC